CAGAAACACTTGAGCTGCTTCATCTCACTGTTTTCTTCTTGTCTCTAAGCTTTCAATTTTTTAGTTCAGAGCTTCATCATTTCACTTTGTATTGCACTTCATACAATGGCATCCGTTCGGACCACAGGCAGCTCATCCCGTTCTCAGCTCTTTGATGATACTCAAATCCCTTCTCCGTTGAAGTTCTTGATGTCCAACTTCAAAAACATTGTCTCTACTCAATTAACCCAGAAAGCTACCTCATCCGGAGCTCTCAAACTCTCAAAATATTTCGAGGCAATGGCTTTGAAGGATATTTCGATGGCACCACAGTAAAACCTCCAAAATATCTGCAGCTCAATGACAACTCCGTCTCTCTCAATCCCCAATACTCAACCTGGCCCTTGATAGATCAAAATCTGGCCGCCGCTGTATCTTCGACCACCTCCTCACCTCTCCTACCATACATAATAAATCTAGACACCTGTGCTGACATTTGGAACATTCTCGTTCGTCTTCAATCCAGCAACCTCTTTCGCATTCTGCAACTCAAAAAGGAATTTCATCAACTTTCTATGCAAGACAAAACCATGACACAGTATTTTAGCTGAAGTTTAAGCCAAGGTCGACACCATTGCTGCAGCAGGCACACCTCTCAATCCTGAGGACGTAATTCTGTATACCTTGAATGGCTTACCTCCATCATGCAGTGCCTTCAAAACCGCAATCCTTACCAACCTGCAACTCATCAGTTTGAACGATCTTTACTGGCTCCTTTGTTCCGAGGAATTTAATCTGGCAACTGAACTTCCTTGCAATAAGTCACCAGCTCTTCCTGACTCTCAAACATCCCTGAACGCCTCTTGCGGCGAAGCCAAAATATACCAGCAGCGCAACAACTTTACCAAAGGTTGATTCCCCACAAGCAGCTGAGCCTCTCAGTCACACACACCTGCTCCTGCATTTCCAATTATAATCAACACAATATTCAATGCCAAACCTGTAACAAATTTGGTCACTCAGCTGCCAAATGTTGGCATTTTACCAACCTCCAATATGAACCAAATCCTGCTATGCTAGCTGGTTCATTTGCCCGCGATTGGTTTCTAGACTCAGGTACTTCACATCTCACTCCAATACGAACCTCCAATACGTCAACACCTCCAACCCAGTACCCCTCCAACCCAGCACCCTATACCGGTCCTCAGCAAGTCACAGTTGGTAATGGCCAGTAACTTCCTGTCGCTTAAACCGGCAAGGATCTCCTACCTCCACCATCTCATAAGCTTCTTCTCTCCCCTCTTCTACATTTTCCCAAAGCATTCACAACTTATCTCCGTTCATCAATTAACCACTGAAAATAATTGCTCAATTACATTTCACTCCACTGGCGATGGGATCTCCAACCAGATTCTCCTCTCTGGTCCATCCCTTAATAATTTAAATCCACTTCACTGCCGTTCCAGCTTCTCCAATCCATCATCCAACAGTGCTTTTCTTACTACATCAGCTACATCTACCATATGACATAGTTGTTTGGGCCATCCTAATACATCTACCATGTGTTTACTGGTCAAGGAAGTTCCCAATATATTTTTTTTCCCCCTTAATAGTCAATGTACTCATAGTCATTCTACTAAAAGTCACAAACTTCCCTTCCTGCTTTCAGCTAACTTATGCACTCGTCCTTTACGTATTATTCACAGTGATTTTTGGGTCCTTCCCGCACTATATCTAAGCAAGGTTTTAAATACTATGTTTCCTTGTTTGACTATTTCTCTCATTTTTGCTGTGTTCCCATTAAAACAAAATTCTGAATCTTTTTCGGTGTTTATCAAATCCAAAACTCTAATTGAAAATCAAATCACTTCTATAATTAAAATCTTAGCTTTGACGGAGATGGAGAATATGTCAACACTGCCTTACAAAAATTTCTTACCTGGAGCGGTATTCTTCACCAAATAACATGTTCATTTACCTCCGAACAAAACGGCGTTGCCGAATGCAAGTACTGACAAAATCGAAACAACTCGCACACTACTGTTTGAGCAAGCCTACCCCATTTTCTCTGCGTAGATACATTACTTATAGTTGTGTATCTCATCAACATATTACCATCCCTTAACACCCATAACACTTCTCCAAACCACCTACTCTATCAACATTTTCCCGCTTACTTGTATTTCTGTGTCTTTGGATACGCTTGCTATCCATTGTTGAAACCTTACTCTTCAAACAAGCTTTCACCCACTTCTTTCAAACGTGTCTTATCGGGATATCATCCCCAATATAAAGGTTATAGATGTTACCATCCACCTACAAGATGTAGTACATATATCGGCATATCATTTTTCATGAAATCACATTTCCCTGTCAATCCAATATCTCACCTCCCATCATCTCTACCTCACCAACTTACCCACCCACCTCCGTTAACTCAAGTACCCATCACCTCATCATCATCCAACAATAATATCTCACAATCACTCAACATCCAAGACCCGATTCCTTCCTCCTACCCTATACTTTCTTCACCCACACTTTCTCTACCCGCAATTAGCCAAACCACCAGCAGACCTCTCCAATCCAAGATGGCTTCTTGATTTGGCTCATTCCCTCACACCGCCTACCACTCCGTCTTGCTTTTCTGATGTTGTCAAACAGGATCGTTAGCATCAATCTATGTCTGAAAAATTCCAAGCTTTTCAAACACAAGGGACCTGGACTCTTGTTTGTCTCTCCTTATCACAACGTGCTTGGTTTCCGATGGAGATACAAACTCAAACTTCACTCGGATGGTTCAGTTGCTTGGCATAAAGCTAATTTAGTCGCTCAAAGATACAATTAACAATATGGTCTCAATTACAAAGAGACATTTAGTCTAGTGGATAAGATGGCAACAATTCATATTTTTCTTGCTTTGGTTGCTCATCACAGTTGGCAGCTTTCTCAACTCGATGTCTCTAATGCCTTTCTTCATGGTCTTTTTTAAGAGAGGGTCTACATGGCTCAACCAAAAGGCTTCATTAATCTTTTCCAGCCCACTTTTGTTTGCCAACTTCATAATGCACTCTATGGTCTCAAACAAGCTCCGATGCAATGAAATTTTACACTCACAAAACAACTCTCTACTCTTGATTTTAGACCGAGCTCAGCTGACTACTCACAAAACACCTCTCTACTCTTGATTTTAGACCGAGCTCAGCTGACCCCTCCCTCTTTCTTCACGTCACAAATTCACTCATATTTTTCTCTCATTTATGTCGACGATTTCTTGATCATCAGAAATAGTCGTCACATCATTAACAGCATCATCTCCCAACTTCAACAGCAGCTCAACATGCGTAATATCGGTCTCATTTTTCACTTTCTCGGCATTCCTATTCATCACACCCCTGCTGGTCTCCAACTTTCCCAATCCCGCTATATCAACAGCATTCTCAATTGAGCTGGAATACTGTTTTGCAATCCCCGTATTCACACCCTTTCCCAATAAAACTATCTCCTCAGCTTCCCAGTTCAGCCTTTTCACATCCACAATTCTATTGCCACATAGACGGCTCTCTTCAATACCTAACAATCACCCGCCTCGACCTCTCCTTTGCAGTTAACCACCTAGCGTCAACCTATCGAATGGTACTACCAAAAACTGAAAGGACAGCTACGCCATCTCAAAGCAGCTACCAATCTTGGTCTCCCTATCACCCAATCAAATCTCCAGCTTCGAGCCTTCTCCGATTCCAGCTAGGTAGGTGACACATTGGACAGAAAATTGACTTCAGGATATTGCATCTTTCTCGGCTTCACTCTTATTTCCTGGACCTCTAAAAAGCAATCTATCGTTGCTTGATATCCACCGAGGCCGAATATCATGCTCTCGCTTTTGCTGCAACGTAAGTCATATGGATACGCTGCCTACGTCAAGATTATCAAGTACTAAACCAACAACCCACTCCGCAATGTCTCAGCAATCTCTTAAGTCAATAATCCTATCTTCGACACATGCACGAAATATATTGAAATTCATCACCTTATTATTCAGGACTGCATAAAGGCTGCCACTATTACAATTCAACATCTTGCTTCTCAAGCCCAACTTGCTGATTTGTTCACTAAATCTATGCCAATCTCAAGATTTAGTTACTTCTGAACAACTTGACGCTTCAATTAGGAACCCCCAACTTGAAGTGGGGATGATAACAGTCACTACAAGCTACTCAGTTTAAAGGTCCAGCAGGAGGAAGATTCCATATCCTAAACCAGTTCAGCA